CCCGCGGCCTTGCGCGTGTGCCGAGGCCCGGCGTGCGTGTCCTCTGTCCCGCGGTTCCCCGAGAGCATCCCCGAGGGGCCCCCTCGTCACGGGGGAGGAACGAACCGGTGGGAAGGTGGCTGCCAGCTGGAATCCTTTGTGCCCCGGCTGGGGGAGGGGACGGCGCGGTCTCGGAGTTCGGGCGTCCGGGGAGGAAGTAACATCGCCGCCCTCTCCCCGGCCAGGTGAAGTGGGGCATGAGGCTTAACCAACTCCTTGAAACAGAGAAGGAGAATTAGCCCTCAGGCGTTCAATTGGGGGGCAAGTTTCTTCATAAAAGGGCTAAACCAAGTCTATTGTTCTTTTTTCTTTCAGGGTCTCTACATATTTTGGCCACAATCTTAAATTTTCTATTTAGTTCTTAAAAACTGGCGCTTCTCAAATGATTTCAGCATCTAGTAAGTTGTTATACAAAGGAATGAATGCATCTAACACTGCTTTTTTTCTTAGAACAAACAAGGCCCCTGAGAGCTCCACCTAGCTCACAGGATAAAATCCCCCAGCAGAGCTCAGAGTCAGCAATGGCTAAGCCCCAAGTGGTTGTGGCTCCTGTGTTAATGTCTAAGCTGTCTGCCAACGCCCCCGAATTTTACCCATCAGGTTATTCTGCTTATACAGTGAGTACACCTTTTTCCTCAAATCCTGGATTAAAACCACAGGAATACAGTAATATTATTGTTTAGGTATGCTGGTGCTTTCTGTACTGCATATTTGAAAACAATTCATTGCACTCATGGGAACATTGTGGCTCCTGTTAATGTCTAAGCTGTCTGCCAACGCCCCCGAATTTTACCCATCAGGTTATTCTGCTTATACAGTGAGTACACCTTTTTCCTCAAATCCTGGATTAAAACCACAGGAATACAGTAATATTATTGTTTAGGTATGCTGGTGCTTTCTGTACTGCATATTTGAAAACAATTCATTGCACTCATGGGAACAACTGATTGAGAAGTATTTTGTAATTACAGTTAAAGTATCAATGTAAACTTGAGAATAAGAATTCTTGTTTGGTTTACTGCAGTGTTTTTTTCAGCGTCTTTAGAGTATCAGCTAATAAATCTGATGTTAAGGACATTTTCAATTTCTAAAACAATATCTTTCCAAATTTTATGGACAGCTTGTTTATAGTGGCCAAGCAAAGCTGATTTAGTGAAGTTGTTAAATATTCATTAGTGGTTTAAGAGTAAACGTGACAGTTTTCTGCATATGGAAAAATTACACATCTAGGCTCATTTCTAGTGATAGTTCATTATGTTAAAATGGAAGTGTGATGCCAGTTACCTGTTGCAGAAATGTTGGAAGGGGTTTTGATAAAGTAATATAACCATTCTTAAAATTGGCCATATTTTTCTTAGTAGCAGAAAGCGAAAAGCACAGAGAATATCTAGAAAGGAATTTGTTACGCCAGGTAGGTAGACCCAGATGAGTAATTGTATAGCAGTGGGAGAAGAAATCATTTTACTAGGTTGAAAAATTGATAATACTTCAGCATAAAGCCCACTTTCCCGTCCTCTTACTTATATTGAAATACAACATAAGTGTACATAAAGATTAGCTAAGTTTTACAGAGTGAACACTCAGGTAATTACCTTCCCAATCAAGAAATTGAATGTGGTCAACATCTAAAGCCCTCTTTATCCTCTTCTAATTATTAATGATGCCCAAGGTAACCACTGCTTTACCTTAAGATGGTTTTGCTTGTTTTTAAAGTTATATAAATTTATATTGTTCCTCATATGCACTCTACATCAAAATTAACTCATGTTGTTACATAATTTGAGTTTGTCCTTATAACATTTTATTGCATGACCATATCAAAGTTTTATTTGCTGATGAAAAAGCTTCCATTTTAGGTTATTATGAATAAGATTTCTGTTCCTGTCCATGGCCTGGTAGACCTTTATTTCTGATTGATATATACCAAGGGGTAGAATTGCTGGAACATAGAGTAGCCAGCTTTAGTTAACATTGCCAAATAGTTTTCCAAAGAGATCATTTCACTCTACACTCTTGAGTAGTATATAATTGGTAGTTGTGCTGGGCAGCACTTGATATTTTCTATGTAGCTGTTCTAATAGGTATGTTATACTTAGTTGTGGATTTAGTTTGTATTATAACTAATGATTGGCACACTTTTGGGGGGCTTTTTATATTTGGTAAGAAAAATATGCAAAGCTGTATTTCAAAGAAACTATCCATTTTGTACCATATAGGAAAAAGTCTTGGGATTAAAAATAGAGTGTACACATAGCAGGAGGAGCAGTTGATTTGAGAACAGCTTTGATTCTTGTCAGAAGAATGTATTTGGCTCAGAGAGGAAAAGAACCATTAGAGAGTTCTATGAGTAGTTCAATAAACTCTTAAGGATGTTCACTGTCTAGCAGCTCCAAACAGTTCTCCATTTGTTTTCTTCCAAGTTGATTTCTTCTGTTTTATGATGGGAGAGATAACAGTCTTTCACAGTACTGTACAAAGTTAAATGACTCGGGGGCCGGGGATTTAGCTCAGTGGTTTTGCCGCCTGCCTTGCAAGCACAAGGACCTGAGTTCCATCCCCGGTATCAAAAAAAAAAAAAGAAAAAAAGTTACTTGACTCAGGACCTATAGAGTAGCATTATTATATCATGTTAGACCGTTTATTTTGAGCTAGTCTTTGTTATCCTCTAGTGGATGAGCTCCTTCTATGTGCTGTTTAACAGGACAAATTAAGGGCGGCGGATTTAGCTAAGTGGTCTGGTGCCTGCCTTGCAAATGTAAGGACCCGAGTTCGATCCCTGGTAACAAAGGGGGGGAAATAACAAGACAAATTATAAACTAGAAGACTGGCTTATAGTTTAAAAACTTTTAAAAAGCTTATTTTATTTTCTGTTTAAATTAGATGTTGTCAATCTGAATTTTCTGATTGGTTGAAACCATAGGATCTAGCCATAGTGAATTGGCATTCTGATAGAGCAGAAATTGGCTGGAGCAGAATAGAGGCACACCATTTGCTACCTGGCTTTCTTTATTCATTTGTAACCCACTTGGACTCCATAAGTATTCTGGTTTGCTAGAGTGGTCTGATGCATTTTATGGCTTTCCTGCCTTACCCTCACATTTACCTTCAGTCAAGGCTAAAAGTATTTCTCAGTCTGTTTAGTCATAAAACAGTAGAACCTCTTATAAGATCTTGTGAGGGAAGCTTTTCTTTATAATAACCATAATTTAGAGTTAGCTACATTCACTTATTCAACAAGTAGTTGAGTACTTAACCATGAGTCAAGTCTGGACATATAACAGCAAACAAAATAGACAAAAATTCCTGACTTCATGCAGCATCCAGTCTAGTGGTCACCCTCTTGCATTTCTATAAATTTCTTGAATTTGCTTTTTGTTCTTTATATGAAAATCAGTTGCTGGATATCCCTGAGCCAGGTCTTTCTTTTTTTGTTGTTTTTGGGGTTTTTTTTTTGTTTTATTTTGTTTTTTTTTTTTGGTACTGGGGATTGAACTCGGGTCCTTGTGCTTGCAAGGCAGACCACTGAACCACTGAGCTAAATCCCCGGCCCGAGCCAGGTCTTAAGAGTTCATTGTTTTAGCCAGGCACAGTGGCATACACCTGTAATCTCGGCTATTTGGAAGGCTGAGGCAGAAGTTGCAAGTTTGAGGCTAGCTTGGGCATTTAATGAGACTCTGTCTCAAAATAAAAAAATGAAAGAGCTAGAATGTAGGTCAGTAATAGAGTGCTCCTGGATTCATTCCTGGATACTTAAAAAAATTCTTTTCAAGCAGCCATTGTGATAATCTTTTGCTATACTTTGTTAACCCTTTCAAAGCGCCGAGCTCTTTTATCTTCAGTCCTTTCTTTAACCTTCTGCTAGAATTTATTTTTTATACCCTCTTAGCAGTGAATTGCTGTATCCATTTATTCCTTGTCTTTATTTCTCAGGCAAACCAGTATGCATTGATATTTATTGCAGTTTACTTACCAGTACCAAGCATTCTACATTTGTGTTCCTAAAGCATTTATTAAGAGGGAGAAGTCCTCTCTGCAAAACAAACAAAATCAGATTTTTCTTCCTAAGGGTATCCCTCTTTAAGTTACTGCCTAGTTTTTCCTCTGCCTTCCAGTAATAAGGTACTCTACAATGTAAACTTACTCATTATTAGCACTGTTTTACTTTTCACTGACTGTGCAGACCTCTGCAGTCTGATCCCCTCAGATGTAGTGATATTTTTTTTCTAACAGTTAATGATGCTGTCCTGATTTTTAAATCTATTGTCCTTTTACTTCCATTTTAGCTGTTGAACACAGAATGATCCATGAGCATAATATGATCTATCCACTTTAAAAGTATGAGAATGCTAGGAAACTGTGCTACGTGTCAGTTACCTTTTTTGAGACAGGATCTCACTTTGTAGTTCAGGCTGGCCTTGAACTTATGTCAGTCTTGTCTCAGCCTCCCGAGTGCTGGGATTACAGGTGTGTTCCAACATGCCTCCCCCTCTTGGTACTGGAAATTGAACCCAGTGTCTTCATGTTAAGCTACATCCCCAAGCCCTTTTTTTTTTTTGAGTTGCTAAATTGCTGATGTCCCCAGGCTGGATCAAACCTGTGATCCCCCTGCAGCCCCCCAAAATGCTGGGACTGTAGGTGTGAACTGCCATGCATGGTTAAAGTTACCTTTTTTAGTCTTTCAAAAGCTCCTTTTAACATTTTATAAAAATTAAGTATTTAAAATAGTGACTTTAGAGCTGGGCATGGTGTTGTGTGCCTGAAATCCTAGCACTTGGGAGGCTGAGGCAGGATGATTGCTTTTAGTTTGCCAGTCTGGGCTACATAGTTCAAGGCCAGCCTGAACTGCACAGCAAGACCCACTCTCCAAAAAAAAAAGATAACTGATTTTATTCTAATTTCTTTTTTTGTGTGTAACTCCTAACTCTCAGCAGCCATTATTTCTGTTCATATTTCAGTCTGTAAATTTATTTCATAACATTTAATATTAAGAGGATTACCTTCATTTATTTTCTCCTTTGACTTCTGTGGCATTACTTGGTTTACCCTCCCAACTTGCAAATCATAGTATTTCTTCTCCCGTCACATGTTAGTCCCTGAGGTATTTTCCATTTTATTACCTTCCTTGCTAATCCTGTCTTTCCATAGAATCTGATTACCTTCCCATGTGCTAACCCTGAAATCTAATTCTTTGAACTCTAAGCTTGTTTCCATTTGTTTGCCATCTTTATGAGAATCACATATTCAAACTCAATTATAAAACTGAAGAACTGGGCGTGCTTTTGCGTACCTATAATCCCAGCGCTTGGGAGGTTGAGACAGGAGGATTGCCATTAGTTCACAGCCAGCCTGAACTACATGGTAAAAAATGTTTAAAATAGGGCCGGGGATTTAGCTCAGTGATTCGGTGGCCTGCCTTGCAAGCGCAAGGACCTGAGTTCAATCCCCGGTACCAAAAAAAAAAAAAAAAAAAAAAAAAAAAAATGTTAAAAGCAGTTCATCTTCTTTGATTCCCTTCTTTCTAACTATCCTAGGCCAAAAACTTGATATATTGACACCTCTGTCCTTCATACCCTTACCCTGGCTCTGTTCAGTCCAGCTAGTTTAAATAGTCATGATTGTTCCACTGTCTCAGTATTATCTATGTCTTTATTCCCACTGCCTTGAATTATCACTGATGGTGAACCTTTTAGATCTTTCAGTGATACAAAAAGCCCATTGCATCACACATGCTGTAGGTTTTACGCCCTTGGCTTAGGTTCTCATTACTTAACAGTGCATGTATAATTCCTACCATGAAAGGTACATTTTCTAGTTGATGTCCTTCCTAATTGTTGCTGTATAATTCTAAGAAAAATAAGGTTTGAAAATATTCTTCAGCTTGAAAGCCATTTGACTCCACATTGAAGACTGAAGAAATTTGTGCTTTGAAAAGCCTGGTGTTAGAGAACTAGTTCAGGCTTTGATTCAAACATGTTGGGATGCCTGTCAGTTTGGAATACTCTGCCTCTTTTGTGCTTAAAATAAAAGGCTCTGGATCCAGCTTTCTGCTATATATATTCACAGCAGCTCTGCTTTTCTGTTACTTATCAGAATTTAGACTCTTTTTTTTTTAAATGCTGTTGACTTTATAAAAAACTGAAAATGCATTTTTGCCACAATGAATGACATTTGATAGAAACTGAAAATTAATAGTTTTAACTGGAACCTATAGATTTGCCTTCTGCCATTGTTAATAATGGTAGGCTACTATAAGTCTGCAAAACCAATTATAGTTAAATATATTATGTGTGCATTTTTATGCTTAGCAGTTTTAACCATTTTTCTGAGCATAAATATTTATAGTAGGAGCATTTCTTTACTCCACAGGTAAATACTGTTGTCCATTATTTGTTTTTCCAGAAATTATCTCTGCCTATACAAATAAATATCTTTTAAAAAATTGTTATGCTAAAATATGGTTGTATACTTAATTTTTCATTTAACATAGTGTTTTGGAGATATTTTTCTTTTCCTTTTCTTTCCTGTCCTTTAATTTGTATTGAGGATTGAATCTAGGACCTTCATACTAAACTACATCCTCAGCCCTTTTTTTATTTTGAGATGGTGCCTCACTAAATTTTTTTTTTTTTTTTTTGGTACTGGGGATTGAACTCAAGTCCCTGTGCCTGCAGAACCACTGAGCTAAATCCCCAGCCCCTCACTAAGTTTCTTAAGTCACCCAGACAAGGCTTGAATTTGTAACACTCTTGCCTCAACCTCCCTGAGTGTTGGGATTACAGGCATGTGTCACCATGCCTGCTTTGTAAATATTTTTTAATGGCTATATAAAAATATATCTGGTAGGGGCCAGGGATTTAGCTCAGTGGTTCGGGCGCCTGCCTCACAAGTGCAAGGACCCGAGTTCGATCCCTGGTACCAAATACATGTGTGTGTGTGTGTGTGTGTGTGTGTGTGTGTGTGTGTGTGTGATTTTCTTAAATGGCTATATGGTAGTCCATTACATGGATATACAGTATTTAACCAATTCCTTTAATGGATTGTTGAGTGGATTTCTTGGCAATGAACATTTGTATAGATAATGTCAAAGTTGAATTTTAGACTCCGATATTGCATACAGTATAGAGCAGTGATGGTAAACCTATGGCACACATGTTATAATGGGCTATTTGTATCACTGAAAGCTATAAAAGGTTCATCACCGGTATAGAGAGTAAAAATACAGTCTGATCTGTGCTCAGTTCTTCTAACTTGCTGTGAGACCACACACAAATTAGGTTGGTGTATAGTTCTTCTGTGCTCAGACCTTCCCGTTGCCATTTTGTCCCAGGCCTTTAGACCAGTCTCGTTAATGTGGCTCTAAGGAGATTACTAGGCCTGTCTGCCTCACTGACCTTGTGAGCTACCATTCTATCCTCAGTGCCTATGTTTTAGCCACCCTCTTGCTTTCACTAAGTACTTACCTCTTTGAGACCTATGTGTATCTTGTGCCCACTGTATAGGATATCTTTGCTCAGATGTCTCTGAGGGTAGATTTTTTTTTTCTGTCTCAATTTAGATTGTCTGCCCGTATTTTTTTATAGTGTATTTCAGTGTCTGAATATGTCTTTCATCATGGAATGCATGAGAAGAGGACTTTGTCTTATTTCTGGCAGACAGCATGTCTTGACAGTATTCCCAGCCCCTAAAACAGTCAGGCACTCACGAGGCACTCAGCACACAATACCAACAATAATCAATATGACAACTATTCTGCACCTGTTTCTTCTTATCGGAGGGATCCAGTGTATACCTTAGAATTTTCTAGGGTTGAATGAGATAATGCACGTAAATCTTCTATTTCAAAATCTTTTAAGAAACATTGAACGGTCATGAGTCTTTCTACTAACACTTTATCTCCAGCTTGCAAAATTTCTAAGGTATTTTTTTAACTATGTATTTTTTTATGCACTTGATAATGAGCATTAAGCCCTCTCAAAATGATTTCATACTAAATGATTTTTTGGGGGGGTACTGGGGATTGAACTTCAGCCCTGGTACTTATAAGACAGGTGGCAGAAACACTGAGCCAAACCCCCAACCCCATACTAAATAATTTTTTATTTTTTTAAACTGGATCTCACTCTATGTAGTCCAGACTCATTTTGAACTCACTTTGTAGCCCAGGCTGGCTTTAAAGTCTCAGTGATCCTCCGCCTAAGTCTCCCCATATGCTGGGATTACAAGCATGCACCACCATTCCTGGCCATACTATATGATTTTTCATGTGGCTTCTAATACGAGTCTATTTGGAAAAGAGTAAATTGTATCAAGCAGTATTGGTATTATTTGAGGCAGGTGGTGAAACCACTGAGCTAAATCCCCGGCATTAGTATTGGTATTATTTGAGCATAGCTATTAGGTAAATTTTAACATGCTTTGAATTATATTCCAGGCATTGATAATGGGAAGGTTGCTGTTCTGGCCTGATTGATAACTTTTGGCAAAACTTGCCTCCTCAGCCTCTTGCCATTAATTATAAAGTTGGCAACTACCAAAGTGAAATATTTCCAGTGGTGGAAAAATAAGTTGGAAACTACTTAATCTTAAGGTTTTTTAGAAACCTAGATGTAGCAGCCAAAAAGTCTCCTGCCATTTACCCAGTAATGAAATTTTAAACTTTAGCAACCACAGGCATTTCCCTGTCCTTGGGGATTAACCAATAGATAACAAAGCTTTCTAGAATTTTTCTTTGCAATATAGGAATTTTCAAACATCTATAAGAATGTAAGGCATAGTATTGTAGATCTCCCTAGTCTAAATAGTAAGCTACATGTGGCTATTCTTACTCATATATCCCTAGTCCATCATTTCCTCCCATTTTGAAGCAAATCATAGATTTTATTTTTATCCATAAAGATTAAATTCTTAATTTTTTATATTGGTATTATAGCAAAATTGGTTTAAACTTTCTCAGCCATTTTCTACATTTGTCAAGATTGAGAAGACAATTACTTGTCTAGTTAAATAGAACTCTCCTGGTACAACCCAAGAAAGGATAGCTTGGTACAGTGGTACCTGAATTTATGAACTGAATTTGTTTTATGATTTGGGGGCAGATGGCTGCGTTTGTGTTTGTATGGGGAAGATTGCCATGGTCATGTTTGTCACTTGAGTTATAGTTGGCAGAATTAGTGTATGGAAGAAAAATGTTGCCCAATGCTTGTGTTAGACTTAACATATGTTAAAAATTACCATGAGAAGGATCCTTAAACAGTTATTTATGCTAGAGACATTCCAACTTAAAGGCACTGCATATTTTTATCCTGTTACATGGATTAAAGTTGTTTCTTTGTGTATGTGTGTGTCTGTTTTGTGTGTTTTGTTTCTTTCCTTTAGGAATCCTATGAGGATGGTTGTGAAGATTATCCTACTCTGTCAGACTATGTTCAGGAGTTTTTGAATCATCTTACAGAGCAACCTGGCAGTTTTGAAACTGAAATTGAACATTTTGCAGAGACCCTGAATGGCTGGGTTACAACAGATGATGCTTTGCAAGAACTTGTGGAACTTATCTATCAGCAAGTAGGTTGGCTAATAGCATGCAGTATTGTCCTTGAATTCCAAGGATGATGGTTACTCCTTAAGGGAGGCCAGGTTTATGTTCATCTGTCTCTGCACTTGGTAATTCTTTATGGTTTATGGGAGCTTTGAAATCTGTCTTGTATGAAATTTCTGTCATTGGAGATCCTGTCTCAGAGCCAAACTGGACTGCCAGTCCACCTGTGTAGCCATGGCTTTGTACAGGCAATATTCATTGCTGTAACCAAGATGCTATAAACATGGCAGAACTACAGGAGATTTGGGCTAAGCTTAGGGGAAGACTACATAAGTATCAACTTTTTTTCTCTCTCCCGTTTTGGAGGATCTGAAACTTAACACAAAAGAATAACACAAAAGAATGCAGCTGTTTTTTCCTGTGTGTTGAATTATTGGAGGAGCAATTATTATTCCTCTGTGTAGTATTATTGGAGAAGGGAAGAAAAAAGTCTTAGAACATTCTTGCCTCATAAATGAGTCTTGTAAAAAAACCAGACTGAAAAATGGGTTGTCCTGAGTCTTAACATTTTTACTTGTCTTAACTTTAATTTTAAGGATTTATATCTTAATTAAGTCTTAATTTCTTGAAAGTTTGTTGAGTTTTTTTTTGTCGTACAGTGTTTAGTTTTCAACTTAATCTGTTTACCACTGACATAAAATGCTATTTTAGTAGTGAAAGTATGAAGTAGATAAAACACTAGCTTTTTAATAAAATTTTTTGTCATTGTGAGACTGGTCGGAAATAGCTGAACAGAAATATAAAGTTTAGTGTTCTTTGTCATTGCTAAAAGAGCAACTTAAATTAAGAATATATGGAAGAGTGATCATGATAGCAAACCAACCCTGTCTAATGTTTCATTTGGCTGCTTTCCCAAGTTGCAGGCTGTTACTGAACCACAGTGACATAGCCATCTATTGGGTTTCAGGAACAGCATGAGTTTTAGGAAATAGAACTGCTCTGTCCTGATTCTTACTTTCTGCCTCTACGTGGATTGAAAAGGAATATGAGATAAGAAAATGGAAGAAAATACTTCTTGCTTTTCTGATTTCTCTAGTTTCTCAGTAGGATGCATAATCCTAGTTCCTGATTATTAGGCTGGGTGGATGATCTGTAACCTACCTGATGAGCTGTATGATTGTCTCAAGGCCAGTTCTTATATGTACTCAGTGTTAACTATTTGTTTTCAGGGATACATTGATTGAATATACAAGTTTATCCATAGCTTTTATGTTTTATTAAAGTAATTTACCGACTTACAGTAGAGGACCTATTATAAAAAATGATAGACTAAACATAAACATTCACATTTGATTCCACCTTAAATACCATTGAAATGACTGGGGATTTGTAAAAGGTAGAGATCCAGTAAGGACAAAGAAGATGGAAAAAGTTAAAAGCCTAGTTTTGAGGATTAGAAAATAGATAAATATTTGGTAAGTGACTAGGTAGATCTAAAGTTGAGTTGCAGACCAGTGAGGTAAAAAAAATAGACTTTCTACATCTTTTTGTAGCCAGTGTGAGGTTTTATTGTAATCCTTAAATTAACAAAGGAGGTACTCCCCCACCAAAAAGAGCAGATACAGGCAAGGGAATAGGTAATTCTATAGGAGAGGCTAAGTAAATTATCTACATGATGGTGAAAGGTGATCCCAAGGCATTAGCTATTAGAGTAGCTGGGGTTAACTGGAATAAGTCAGAAAGCTTCAGCAAAGATTTCCCTGGTAAATTAAGCATACCTATGTTTGAACATGCTTGGAATAAATTTTACAACCTAGCTAAGCTAATGAATATAGGGCTAGGGAAAATAAAATTGTTTTAAAAAGGGAAGAATTGGGCCGGAGATGTAGTTCAGTGGTACTGCTGCGTGCCTCAAGCTCAAGGTCCTGAGTTCAATCCCTGGTCCAAAACAAACAAACAAACAAAAAAAAGAATTGATCTAGTACATGCTTCTGGTGCCACTGAAAACACAACTAAAATCATAAAACCATATTGGTAGGTGGTGGATAAGAGAAATAGTGGAATGAGGAGGCTTGAGTAGGGCAAAAGCTCATGTTCCATGGTAGTACCTAATAAATACATTTAAACTGAAAAATCATGCAGTGTGGAGAACAGAGTCTCAAGTCTTTTCATCTGAAAGAATTGAATGTGGTTATCTGTAGGAGAAAATTGGGGTGCAGATAAGAAAGTAGAAAATTTGAATGACAGCCTTGTAGAACTAAGTCTTTGAATTATGAGTGTGATAACTTCCAAAAGAAAAGGAAAACAGACAAATGCCAATAATGGGAAAATATCAGTTAGAATTCCTTTTGTTAAGCATATATAGTGTCAGGAGAAATCAGTCTTGCCTTTTTCGTGATATGTACAGCATCACCTGTGATCAAGGAAATAATTAGAAATAAAAGATAAAATAACTATAAAGTACTTATTATATGACAGCCAGTGCTAAGCACTTCACATGTAGTTAACCCATTTAATCCTCAGTGGTTGCAAGTTATTTGTTTTAACCCCATTTTATACATATCTGAGCAGAGAGGTAAGTGACTGACCTAAGGTTACCACTCCGTAGGAAGTCAAAGAAGCAAGAGGCCATTTGTTAGGCCCAGAATCTGCAGTTGATTACCTTTAGGATCTTGGCTGGCCTTTAGCCACTTTGTGTGTTTTATTACCTAGTATAGGTGAAAAACTACTTTCTTTACTATTATCTTTAAAAATTGTGATTAAAGTTAAACCTCCTGAGTGCTGCTTTGGCTACAACATACAATCTTTGCTATGTGTGTTTTCTCAGCCTTTTTTTTTTTAAATGGCTCATCTGTTTTTATTTTCTCTTTACCCCAAGCATTGTTGGCTTGCTGTTTAAATGTTAGCACCTTATGCAGATACAGATAATCACCTCTTCAGAAATGAAATAGAAGCTCAGGGAGGTTTATGGATGTCCAAAGTCGCAATGTAGAATTCTCAAACATCGTATTGTGGACTGATAGACCTGTAAATCTCTTGTCCCTGAGAAGCACCACTATTCAGTAGTTTGGCAGCTGTTTTCTTCATTTATAATTGTTACTGCCATGCAATTGGGTACATGTTCATATTTTCAGAGGGAAAAGGTTAGTATCAAGATATCAGTTGCTTTCTGGTAACCTCAGGTCAGTTGAGTGGTGGTGGTAAGGGTGAACTTGCCTTAAGCATTTTTCTTTGTACTTGTGGTTCTTGGTATAAAATTGGGAGGGAGAGTAAACTTAATTTCCTCATACTTAAACAAAAAAACTTACCATTTTCCTATACAATATGGTTACTTTTGGGAACCAGAGTGTTTTTTTCCTTTAAAATGTTGCTAAATGTTTGCATTAATAATATATATATTATATATATATCATACAAAACTTTTCTTTTTAAAAGGCCACATCTATCCCAAATTTCTCTTACATGGGAGCTCGCCTGTGTAATTACCTGTCCCATCATCTGACAATTAGTCCACAGAGTGGCAACTTCCGCCAATTGCTACTTCAAAGGTCAGTGTGAATATGAAATTGAAGGAAAACTACTTTTAAATATACTAGAATTTGACCATTCCTCATTTCTAAAGATTGTATGTTGCAGAAAATTGCAAGAGAAAGGGTAGACCATTTTAATTTGCATAATAAAAGCTTATAGTCAACCATATCAAGTTCTTTTTCCCTGTTATGATCTCTGCCTTTGGTTTTGTATTTAGAAGGGCCTTTCTGAGATGTCAGAAATGCTCTCGTAAGAGTACTTTTGACATTCTGGTTTGAGAAAGGATCTAATTTCATTAAGATTAGAATACAAGTGAATAATTCATTTTTTCCTGATTGATTTGAACTACCTTTATTGCTATTTTTAAATTTGAATTTTAAATCTAGACAGTTATATTTTCTTATTTAATCCTTCTATATACCATATAAAAGCTGTGAAAAACCTCTTAATAATTTAAGTATATGGTTATTAGTTATCTATTTTAAGTCTTGCTATGTCATCCAGGCCAGCCTTGAAGTTACTATGTATCCAGGCTGACCTTGAACTCAAGATCCTTCTGCCTCAGCCTTCAAGTGCTAGGATTAGAGATGCACACTTTTAAACCCAGCTCTCTCCCTTTCTCTCTCTCTCCCTCCCTCCCTCTCTCTCTCCTCTCTTCTGTCTCCTCTCTCCTGTCTCTTCTCTCTCTCCTCTCTCTTTTAATGAGACACAGGGTCTTGTTATGTAGTTTGGACTGGCCTTGAACTAGTATACCATGTAGCCCAAGCTGGCCTTGAGCTCAGCTGATCCTCTTGCCTTAGCCTCTCATGTTCTGAGATTATAGGCATATTACACCACACCACACTTTCTCCCATTCTTTTCTGTGGTTATCTCCTTTGCTTTATTATTTTTATCCAGTGAACTCTAAAATCAATGTTTGAGTTATACAAACATTGGCAGTATTTGTTAGATATTTGAGGGACAGTATTAAACTCATAAGCTAATTTAAAGAAAATAATTTTACCATTTGAGTAGAATTATATTAATTGAGTAGAGTGCCAATAATTTATCTTTTGATTTTTTTTTTATTTAGTATTACTGGGGTTTGAATGTAGGGCCTTGTATGTGCTAGGCAAGTGCTCTACAACTGAGCTACATCCCCATCCCTTTTTATTTTGAAACAGGGTGTTGCTATGTTTTCAGGCTGGCCTCCAACTTGGGATCCTCCTGCCTCAGCCTTGAAAAGTAGCTGAAATACAGTCATGAACCACTGCTCCTAGCTAGCTGTCTGTTCTTTAAAGATACTTTTAGTGTGTCTAGCCATTTAAAGGCTCTAGGTTCAATCTCTAGCACTGGAAAAAAAAGTGAAGTTGGTATTTCAAATGCTTATGTAAAACATTATTTGTGATGCTTTGACAGCTGGAGCACTCAGGAAAAAAAAAAAAGATGGTTCTTCTCTTACTCTTTACACCAAATTAATTTCCAAATACATATTCAAAGACTCAGGTTGAAACAATAAATTCATTATTAAGGGTGAAAATTGAGAAACAAAACTCTTGAGTTGGTAAAGCTCTTTTCAGTAAGACATGGTACCCATGGGTCCTAAAAAAAGGCATTAACAAATTTAGTTATATGTGGACTATAATAGTTGGCATAAATTTAATGAAGTGAAAATAGGAAAGTTTGTAGCACATGACACTAAGCTTGTTCATATAATACTTATTAAAAAGAGACCTTTTAGAAATAAAAACACCAGTGTCTTAATAGGAATATTTGGGATGCCTCTGGGTAGGTACAATTCAGAAAAATACAGTTTTTTAAAAAATTACCTGTAAAGAAATGCAAATAATAGCTTCTAGACAACAAATGAAATGGAAATGATAACTTCTTGGTAGTTTTAGGAGCAGAATGTCAGAAAGGCTGCTTTATTGCATTCCTCAGTGCTTTTTTACCCTAGCTGTGCCTTGCAGTTGCATAGAGATTTAAAATAGGGCTAAAAAAAAATGAATAAATAAAATAAAATAAATAAATAAATAAAATAAAATAGGGCTGAGACCCTGCCCCCACCTTGGAAATTTATGTACAGTAGTTGATCAGTAGAAGCGGAGTTGTCTTTTTTCCTTTTGTTTTTAAGAGACATTCTTCTGGCTTTCTTTGATCTTTGTATCCCTCCCTATGTACAGTTCTATAGTACTATAATGCTGTAAAAGACACTAATATAGACAAATACTAATGATACAAGTAAAAAACAGCATAATCCTAACTTACTGAGAAATGTATACTTTGAAGAAAGACCAAATGAAGTTACAGCAATTACCTCTTGGTTGTAGTGGTATTAGGGGCGACTTTGATCTTTTTTTTCCCTGTTTTTACCTTCTTGAAAAAAGTACATTGCTCTTTTATAATTGAAAATGCATAGCTTTAAACAGCTTTCACCTAGATAATTAGCCATGTAAAAGGAGAAGGATTTACTTTTCAAAAGCATCATGTCCTAGTGTACAGACTAATGATTTTAGCATTTTGTAAAAGAAAAAAGTGGTTTCATTGAAACTAACCTACAAAAAGAAAGGAAAGAAAACAGCCAACAAGGTGCTTGGATGGCTGAGTTGGCAGTGATTAACTGGTCTTTTCCATTATTAGTCAGTGCATTCTTTCTATGACTATTCCACCTTTTTTTCTGGTGGGGATGTATGATAAGATAACATTTGATTCCAACAAGGGGAAATTTATTTAATAAAGCTTGTGAATACTAGAAGTGGCTACATAGGCACTATAAGCCATGCTGGGTTTGTAATTGTTTCAGACTGACCCAAGGTGAATATTTGGGCAATAGATAATTTCTTTGGCTTTGTTAATTTAAGAAAAAGAAAGAAAGAAAAAACATAAAACTGGTTGTATGGAAGCCATTTTGTCTCCTTAGTCTTTTCACTTTTGGTCTTTAGAAGATAAACTATCAAAAATCAGTTTTGCCAGGCCAATTACTTCCGCAGAATTTTCTTAACACTTTATCAATAAAGAAAAAAATACTTAACACCAAAATTATAAACTTACAAATCCACTTTAGTACTACCAGTAACTTACTCCATAATTCACTTATGAAGACAATGACTTGCTTATTGCAATTAAATACCTTGTAGAAAGTGTGATTAAAAGCTCCAAGATAATTTTGTTGTTGTTACCTGTGTGACATTAGTAGGACAAGAGAAAATAAAACAAGAAAAAATGAGTTATTTTGATGCTTTACGTTTCAGTTGGAACTAGAAATCAAATTGTTTTATACAATCGGTGTTTTTTCCACACTGAAATGAAAAGTATAAAGATTATGAACTTAAATTTTTATTTACAATTTATTATATACATGTATTTTAAAGACCTATTTCAAAAGTTCTCACATCCAAAGGAGTAGAAAACTTTATAGAGATAATTTGGTTAAAAAAAATGCTTTCTTAATCAAAACCCCAAAGAAAAGATGAGCCCCCACCCCATTTTGTTGCTAGTATTCGCTGAACCTCATTAAACTTCTGTAGATTAAACTTGAACAAACTTAATCTGATCATTTTATTTTTTGCCATTACTAGTTTCTTAAGACTGGGAGTCATAGTATGAAAAGATAAATGCCAAAGGGGAATCTTTCTTCTTGATTATGTAATGTCAGGGCATTGGGTTATTGTGCTTGCCTCTTTTGCTGTGGACAACCAAACAGATAAGTGGCCATCTTGTTTGACTTTTTAAAAGACAAAGCAATGTGAGATTGTAAAAGATATGTCTTTATTAGATGTCGGACTGAATATGAAGTTAAAGATCAAGCTGCAAAAGGGGATGAAGTGACTCGGAAACGGTTTCATGCATTTGTACTCTTTCTGGGAGAACTTTATCTTAACCTGGAGGTAAGAAGACATTTTCTTTATAAGTACTAATGGAGACTGAAAAAAATTGATCTCAATAAGGAATTGTTCATGTTATACTTTTATAACATCAAATGTGAAATGGGAGATTAAAAAATAAATTCAGTATGCATTCACAGTAGTCTATTTTTATTTATTTATTTTTAAGTCTGTATTTTAATGAAACTTCTATGACATTTGTTTCTTCTGCTTATAGGCAGGATGTTAAATATAATTACTGAGCTTTAAAAAACTACTCTTAGGAAACTAGTATAAATGTGAATATAAGCATTCAAGAGATGAAACTGTTACCTTTGAATCCTTAAATCATGAATGTTAATATAATTAGATACTGACTTTCACATAGCAGCTCAAAATAACTTACTACAGAATACAAAGTCTTGAGGGAAAATGATAGAGATGAGAGTTTACAGCTTAACCCAGAATAGTTTATTGTTTTTTTGTTTTTGTTTTTTACTTATTTTTTAATTAAGTGAAAATTAAATATGGTATACACTATATTTTGATGTATAGTGGAATGGCTAAATCAAACTAGCCTGTTTTATCTCATAGATATATTATTTTCTGATAGAATACTTAAACTTAGCAATTTTCAAGTATACAATACATTGTTTTTAACTAGTCATTATGATGTACAGTAGATCTCTGGAACTAATTTTTCCTGTCTAACTGAAAGTTTGTGCGCTTTGGCCAACATCTCTTTAGTCCCCACAGTCCTCCAACATAGCTCTTTTGTCTTATTATATATATTAATTTTTACATAAAATGCATGGGTACAAATCCATAGCTGAACATATTTATAAATTTAGGTGTTACACTTAATCTGTATAAGCCTACATATGAGGTCCAGTAATAAACACTGATGGATGAATTTAGTATCATAAACCCTGTACTTACAGTTGTAAACATCAGTAGACAAATGAATCTACCATCGAACATGCATTTTCATCAGTGTATCTGTTTAAAAGTTCTATATCCAGTCCAATGCCTAATTTATTGTCATATTTTAATAAGACTTAGTTTTTTAAAAATCTCATGCCTTATTTTTTCAGTCTGATTTTTATATAAGACAAAATATGAACACCAATTTAAAATAGTTAAGAATGCTATTGGCTTGGGAATTTATTTAGCTCAATGGCACCATGCTTGCCTTACAAGGTCCTGAGTTTGATCCTTGGTACCACCCCTCCCTGCAAAAAGAATGCTGTTAATGATCTGATCTGTTTTGAAGGTTGAGCAGGAAGATTGCAAGTTTTCAAGCAACCTGGACAACTTGGACCTTTTGTCAAAATAAAAAATAAAAAGGGCTGGAGATGTAGCTCAATGGTAGAGTGCCCTGAGTTTGATCCCCAGTATGTGGTGTGAAGAGGCGGTGATGGCCATTGCACATTTCCTACATGGAAGTAATGATCCCAGATCTTTGGGGAATGTGAACATAGTGTGTTCCTATGGTTTTTGTATTTAACTACAACACTTAATTTTTCTGACACTTTGTTAGATACTTACATATCTTATGGGTTTTTTGTTTTTAATTTTCTTTTGCTTTGAAAGATCAAAGGAAGCAATGGACAGGTTACAAGAGCAGATATTCTTCAAGTTGGTCTGCGTGAATTGCTGAATGCTCTCTTCTCTAATCCAATGGATGACAACTTAATTTGTGCAGTAAAATTACTAAAGGTAGGTTTAAAAAAAAAAAAATTGAACAGTTTTACCCATAATGTAGAGTGAATGAATTCAGGATTAAGTTTTTAAAGTTAAAACAGTACAATAAGTACTTGTATATATAAGAAGTGAGATTTAGAAGTGAAAAATAGAACTTGTTCACTCTATATTCCCTTTTGTAAATTCCCTTTCCATATCTGTGTGCTCTGTAAATATGATCTAATTCTGTTCTGGCTCTTCCCCCTACCCCCACTTGCATGGCACACAGATTTAGCTCTGTATTGATCAACTTTTTTGAATCCCATTGCATTAATATATATTATGCATCCTATTAATGAATTATTTTCACTTTAGCCCCTGAAGCACTACCATAATCTTGGTTTTATATGTATAGATATTTCTGTAGATTAAATTCCTAAACACAGATTTGGTGGGTCAGTAGGCATGTGTACTTTGTATTGACAAGTAACATCAAATTTCCTTCCAAATACTAAACCAGAGTATACTTTCAACAGTAGTAAATGAGTACAGTACATCTCTTTCCCCATATTTTGTAGCGATAGATTTAATCAGTCTTGGTTTTTGTTTTGTCATAGATTGAGTAAAAACAAAACCTCATTTTACATTTCACTCTTCTGATCAGTAATAAACTTAAGCATTCCTTCATATTATCCATTTATTAGTTTCTGTGAATTGCTTTTTTCTTAATGGAACTCTTTTAACTCAAAGCTTCTATTTTTATTGCATATTTTTAAAAGTAATGTGTTCAACCCAAGTATGGTGACATGTGCCTATAATCCCAGTACTCTGCAAGGCTGTGGCAAGAGGACCACAGGTTTGAGCCAACCTGGGCAACTCAGTGACTTAGTAAGACACTGTCTCAAAATAAAAGAGCTGAGGATATAGCTCAATATGAAGGCCCTAGGTTCAATCCCCAGTACCAGAAAATACAAAACAAAAAAGTGACATGTTCATTAAAATTTAATAGACTGTCTTAACCATTACAATTTTTTTGTTGTTGTTCTGGAGATTGAACTCAGGACCTTGTGCTTGCAAGGCAGGCGCGGTGTCACTGAGCTAAATCCCTGACCCTGCCATTACAATATTGATACCAGCCATGACGCAAAACCCATAATTAAAGTTCTGCCACAGTTTTATTCTTTTACAGTGGTACATTGGTTCATGAACTTGATTATTTCCACAATTCTGGTTGCAATCTGAGTTGGATGAGAACTGAATTAAATTCAGCAGTTAGGTTTAATGTTGATCTAGGGGAAATTTGATTCAATTCTTGTCCAATTTGGTTGTGGAGAGAATTGAGTTCATGATCCAAGGTACCACTATAGTTTGTCTCAGTCAGGAAGAATATAGAAGGTATGGAGGTCTATAAATGTTATTAGACAGATGAAGAGTATTTGGGAATATTTAATCTACTGTATGTTTGAATTGTAACTAATGTCTTTTCAGAATTTCTGTACCACTGAATTTTTTATTGACATCTGGCTTCTTTAGTTGACAGGGTCAGTTTTGGAAGATGCTTGGAAAGAAAAATTAAAGACTGATATGGAAGAAATTATTCAGAGAATTGAAAATGTTGTCCTAGATGCAAACTGCAGCAGGTAGGAAAAGAAACTAATAGATCTCAATTTTTTGCCCCTTTGTGCGGGCAGGGGGGTTAATCTGCTGTATACTTCATCAGAGTAATTGAAATCTTACAGACTGGTTGACAGAAATATTTAAAGATACAATTTTACCAGGGGCTTCTCACTGATTATTTTTGTTATGTTACATTTTTAAAAATTGAAGTAGTAAGATTTTCCTTTTGGAAGATATGAGTCTGATGAAAAATCAAATGATTTAGACTTCAGGGTTAACAAATACTTCTGTATAATAAAGAAAAGAATTTTTAAAAGATAATCATTGCTTTTAAGAAGTAGTCACTATTATGTGGAACACATTTCAATGCTGTTTTTAAAAAATTAAAATGAATTTATAACATTATAGGAAATACAGTGTACCCTTGACTTATGAACTCGAATGGTTCCTGAAGGCTGGTTGTAACTCAAGTTGGTTGTAAGTCAGTATAGCTGAGAACTGAGTGTTTACCTGGGTACATGCTATAGATTACAAGAGGCAGGTGAATCTTCCAATAACCTAATTAAACCAAGTAGTTTGTCAGGCCATTCGTAAGTTGAAGGACCACTATATCTTGACAAAGTATTGGGTGTACATATTAAATTAGAAAATAAAGTTTTAGGAATCCATGGGATATTTCAGAGCTTTATAACACATATAGTGAATACATGTTAACTCATTTTGGACTTTTACCTTCAGAGATGTAAAACAGATGCTGTTGAAGCTTGTAGAACTCCGGTCAAGTAATTGGGGTAGAGTCCATGCAACTTCGACATACAGAGAAGCAACACCTGAAAACGATCCTAACTACTTTATGGTAAGCCAGTGTTTATATTTTAAATTTTGTGTATTGCTTGAACTTTATATTGACATAGGATTGATAGGAGCCAGATACCTGGTAAATAAAGAGAAAGGAACCATCCAGAGAAAGATCAGTCCCCTACAAGGGAGATTGATAGATTTGTTCTTGAGTCAGCATAGAGATGCCAAGGAGGAGATTTTCTAGAGGATTCATAACCAAAGTACACCATTTCAGATTGTACTTCACATGTTGTAGTAAAGTAAAAATGGTGACTAGGCCAGCGATGACCAGGACATTTTGACATGACCAAATACAAAGCAGCTATGGAGGAATGTTCCCACATTGTTCTTGGCAGTTCTTAAGGAAAGGGGGAAAACATGGCCTAAATGAGCTGATGTTGAATCCTAATATACAACAGAAAAAATTGATCAGGAATGTCAGATATTTGAACTTCAGGAACATGAGATTACTAGAATAGAAATCCAAAAGCCATAGACTTTTCTCGGTGAAGTGGTTGGTAGGAATTTAAGATTTTTTTTTTTTTCTTATTCTTGCATTATCAAGTACAGAAGAGTGACATCAGCCATTCTGCACTGATTAATTTACTTTTTAAAAATTCTGAATGAGAAATTTTGTTACTTTGATTCACTCTAGAATGAACCAACATTTTATACATCTGATGGTGTTCCTTTCACTGCAGCTGATCCAGGTATGTCGTCTTGTCATTTTCACCCCCACATGGTTGATAAAGTAGTAAAGTACAGAAAACCACTTTTTACCAGTACAAATGTAACTTTTTTGATGTGTTCACTAAGCTAAAATATTAGGTTTTCTTACATAGAGTATTGACAGCAACTTAAGCCATTTCAAATTGAAATCTGTGCATACTGTGTTTTGTCATTCTGCACTAAGGATTTAATGAATTACATGCAGCCACTTTTATATTTTCTTTTGCTATTTTTTTTTCTTGCTATTTTGTTTTTATACTCTTAAACTTTCAGGTGGTTAGGATGAAAAGGAGAGATGGTTTTTGTTCACAACATAGGCAGAAAATTACATTAGGATGGATTGCTACTTGTAAATACTTAAGAATTGTAATTTCTTTAATACATGGCAATTCAGAGTTAATTAAAATCTAAATGTCTGAATACCACCCCTCACAGAAAAGGGTCATTTATAGACAGATTGCTTTAATTTTGATGAATGGGACTGAAGGGTAAACAAAAAATTTTCCCACTTAACTATAGACTACAACTACCTTATGGTTGAGATTTTTCTTTTTGAATAGACGGCATTAACTGATGTGTGCCCTAGTACAAAGGAGTTTCTTTAAGGTGAGGAAGTAGAATTAAGTTACAGTCTGTCACATCTTCAGCTTCACTACGTGTTGCTAAATTGCTTTCCAGTGCAATTATGCCACTTTTTATTTCCACCAACAGCTTATGAGAGTTCTGCTGCTTATCCTTGGAGACACTATCAAACTTTTTTTTAGTCCAATTGTATGAATTTGTCTTGTCATTTTATTTCCCCACCTGGTTAGATTAAGTCTTTTTCTGTTGACCTTTTGATTTCTTCCTTTGAAAATTGTTTGCCCTTATTTTTGTTGGGTCATTTGCCTTACTGATTTGTGATTCCTTAAATAGTCTAGAAAAAAGTGATCCTTAGTCGGCTTAGAGTTTTTTGTCTTCTTCCAATATGGCTTTTCCCATTTTGTTTATAATGTCTTGTAATGTAGTAGCTTTTAGTTTTAATATGAAACTTAATCTAATTTGTGCTTTCTCTGATTTTACTTAACTCAAATTTCATTTTCTTCTAAAAAAAAAAATCTTACTTTGCTGCTTTTAACATTTAGATCTTTAATCCACCTGGCTAATCTTTGTATGTCACAATTAATAGGAATTAAATATTTTTTTCCATAGTCTTTTCTCAACAAAAAGTAGTAACTCATCCTTCTTTCTTTAGTTATATAAGCTTCCTTTGTTCCTCTAATTACTCTTGTCTTGCTGTAAGTTTTGTTATGTCTGATAACAGATCTTTCCTCTTATTCTTCAATTACATTGATTTTCACTTGTTCATTATCTGTCTAGTTTGTGTAGTATCTTATTCTAGCGACTTTTGTTCATGGAAATTGAATTTGGTTTATCAAAACTAAATTTTGTTTTTGCACTTCATTCAGTTTATCTTGACCGTTTTTCTCATTTATACATGCTTGCTTTTGTTTCATGTATTTGTTTCATTTTCTTAATTCTAACTCTGATCACTATTCTGATTTTCACATATAGGAAGGAAATTGTTTCTTTATGTCATATTTCTCTTGCAAGGTCATGTTTGGCCATTTCTAAAGCTTCATTCTGAAGTGATTTCAAACTTCCAATAAAATAACAAATGTAAAAACTGTACAAAACATCCATCTCCCTTTTACCTAGGTGTATTTTTTTTTTTTTCCTCTATAGTACTGGGGATTGAACCTGGGATCTTTGCACTAAGCTATATCCTTAGTCCTTCATATTTTTTGAGACAGGATCATGCAAAGTCACTTGAGTTCTCCAGGCTGGGCTTGAACTTGCAATCCTCCCTCCTCAGCTTCCAAGAGTACCAGGCTTACAGGGGTATGCATGCCTGAGTCAGATGTACTTTTTGTTAACAGTTAAACTGAGTAATTTATACTCTCTTCACACATTCTTAACTATTTGAAGTTACATTTATTATGGCTCTTTATTAATGCTTTAATATTTTAACTTTGTTTTTCATTTAAAATGTAATAATTGTAGGAATCTATTAAATAGATTTGCTTCTGCTGAAGTGACAGGGTTATCTAGTGACTAGGAATAGGATTTTTGTGTTTTTTTGTTTTTTTCATAAGGGTTCTTTATGTGAGCAGTAGAGATTTGAGGTTCTGGTCCATTGTTTCAAATTCTTGGAGACCAGTTTCTTCAGAGTACCTGAATTCCACTCCAAGCTCATTCAGAAGGCAGAGCTTCCTTCCGTATCTGTCTTTGCCACTCCACTGAGCTGTGTGTTTTTGTTTTTCCTAGCACACTTTTGCTTAAGTTATTAACTTTTTGAAGTTCCCTTGTTTGTACAGAATGATATGAGTATGGAGTATGGATTCTATGTTCCTGTTTTCACATAGACTCAGGACCTTGATGTTGATCTTGTGTGAGGTTTTTGTTTGTTTGTTTGCTTTTTGTTTTTTCTGAAACAGTGTCTCACTGTGTAGTTTAGGCTGTCCTTGAACTCACTACATAGTTCAGCATGGCTTCAAACTTGCAGCAATCCTCCTGCCTCGGCCTCCCAAGTTGTTGGGATTACAGCTGTGTGCCGACATGCCTGGCTTTCTTTGGGTTTTTAAATCCAAGTCCCTAGTTACTGAGACCAGAACCATCTCTCAGCTTTCCTGTAGCAGCTATATGGACAACTTTTATTTGTTTTCAATTATTATCTGTTGCCTTGACTTTTTTAGGTGATCTGATGTAAGAAAAGAAAAGGCCTTATCTACTATCTCAAGCATTTGTAAGGCCTGGCATGGTGGCACAGGCCTTTGATCCCAGTACTTGGGAGGCTGAGTCAGGAGGATCACTATGAATTTGAGGCCAGCCTGGGCTATGTAAGGCCAGTTTGAATTACATAGCAAAAACCTCAAAAAAAAAAAAAATCAAGAATTTGTAATTGAAAGGCTTTATCAAAGTGATCTGTAAATTGTCAACACTGGAAGTTATCAACTTTTTTTTTTTTTTTTTTTTTTTTTTTTTTTT